CGGTGGTGCCTGCCGATGCGTCACACGTGTGTCAGCGGGGGCGGGAGGCGGTCGAGGGGCAACGCGCAGGGGTGACGCGAGCCGAGCGGGCGCGTAGGAGGGGGAGGAGACGCGGCCCGGCGTGGCCAGGAAGTCACACGCGTGTCACGTGGGCCAAATCGGGGTGGGGGGTGGGGACACGTGACCCACACGCGTGTCCACGCGTGGCACTGAATGCGCTCGTAGGGTCACGCGTGTCTCGCAGCCCAACCCAGTGCGGCTGGGGGAGTCACGCGTGCATCGCCCGGAGCCACAGTCAGCGCGCGCATGGGGGAACATGCGGCCCACACGTGTGTCACGTGCGCCGCGGCCGCGAGGTCGCACGCGTGGCGGTGGGGAGGCCACCGGGCCGTGACGTGGGAGGAGTTGGCCTCTCCCCGCCCCTGGCGGGTGATGCCACGGGGCGAAACACGCCCCGACACGGGCTGACACGCGTGCGCGGGGCCTACCCTCGGGGTCGGACCAGAGGAGGTCGCACATGGGGCCGTCGTGGGGCACCTCCTGCTTGCGGTCGATGGTGCGGATCTGGTCCAGCGTCTGGATGGAGGGCGAGAGGCCCCCGTGCACACAGAAGATCTGCGGGGACACGCGCAACCTTAGCGTGTGCAGGGCGGGGGCAACACCCACGCCCCCCCCCACCTCCCGCCGTGAGGCTGGAGGGAGCCTTGGGGCGGGGGGGGGGGCAGGGCCCCCACGCAGCTCCCGGGGCCGTCCCGCACGCCTATGTGTCCTTAGCGTGTCCTTTGTGTGTCCTAAACCCATCCCAACGTCCTCATCGCGCCGCCTGTGACGGCACCGGGGCTGCAGAGAACGAAGCTGCTGCCACAGCCGCCCCCTAAAAAACCTTCCCATGATCCCACGTGCGCTTAGCGTGTCCTTAGCATGTCCTAACCCGTCTTTAGCGTGTCCTAGCATGTCCTTAGTGTGTCCTAGCATGCCCACAGAGCGTTCCATGATGGCAACAAGGCCGCAGAGAGCGAAGCCGCCCCTGCGGCCCCGTCACCCGAGGCCTCCCCGTGCCCTTAGCGTGTCCTAGTGTGTCCTTAGCGTGCCCTAGCGTGCCCTTAGGTACCCCAGCGTGCTCAGAGAGCATTTTACGATGGCAACAACGCTGCAAAGAGCAAAGCCGCCCCTGCAGCCTCATCACCCGCAGCCTCCACGTGCCCTTAGCGTGTCCTAGCATGTCCTTAGCACGTCCTAGCGTGTCCTTAGTGTGTCCTAAGGTACCCCAGCGTGCTCGCAGAGCGTTCCACAATGGCAACGAGGCCGCAGAGAGCAAAGCTGCCCCTGCAGGCCCGTCACCCGCAGCCTCCCCATGGCCTTAGCGTGTCCTAGCGTGTCCTTAGCATGTTCTAGCATGTCCTTAGTGTGTCCTAGTGTGTCCTTAGCATGCCCTTAAATACCTCAGCGTGCTCACAGGGCGTTTTACGATGGCAACAAGGCCGCAGAGAGCGAAGCCGCCCCTGCGGCCCCATCACCCGCAGCCTCCCTGCGCCCGTAGCGTGCCCTTAGCGTGTGCGCCACGCGTGGGCGCGCCCACCTTGCCGTCAATGATGGCGGAGAGGCTGAGGTAGTCGAAGATCTCGGTGCAGTAGCGCCAAACGGTGACGGAGCCGTACTTGCGCAAGCACTCGTCATAAAACCCGTAGACTTGGGTGATTTGGCGGCTCTCGTGGTTGCCCCGGATCAGCGTGATGCGGTCGGGATAGCGCACCTGTCGCGTTTCGACAGCTGAGTCCCCGTCGCGACAGCAGGGTCCCCGTCGCGACGCCCTGGGTCTCACCTTGAGGGCCAGCAGCAGCAGGAAGGTCTCGACGCTGTAGAAACCCCGATCCACGAAGTCTCCCATGAACAGGTAGTTGGTCTCGGGGACGTCTCCCCCAACCTGGGGGGCGGGGGGTTGGCACTTAGGGGGCAGTTGGGGGGCACAGGGAGCACTTAGGGGGCACTTGGGGGACACAGAGGGGTCACAAGAAGCACTTAGGGGACAGTTGGGG